CCCCCCCCCCCCCCCCTCACCCTCCACCCACACTGGAAAAGGGAGAGGGGAAACGGGTCGGAATAATCTGCTTTTCCGGGTCTTATCTGAAGAAAGGCAGGGATGCATGCTGCTCTATCTCTGCCAGCGTGATGAACACGGCTGCTCCTCTGAGCTCTTCTGCTCCGCTGCAGGCCAGAGCCACGCTGACGCGGGCGGAGATGGAGGGAGGTGTGCACACTCGATTTTTGATTTTTTTTTCTTTTTTGTTTGCGCACTAAATTAATAAAACATTATGGACGATATGAAGTGCACACAAGTAGAAACACTGCATTGATTATCCAGCTGGTGAAACACAAACTGAGCGGGTGCAGAAGGGCTTGTATTCAAAGTTAAAAGCTATTTTAATATTCTATTTGCAATAAGTAGCATTAAGTCACCATAATGCTATAATAAATTATACTTCACACTAAACCTTATAAATAACAATTAAACATAGTGCTTGTACATCATTTGCACAGTTAATGATATCAGGTGATGAAAAACGGTTCGGTTAAAACATCTGTTAGTAAGGAATATATAGGAATATATCCTAATATCTTTCCCACAATATACGTCCTCAATATTGTGACATTTACCAGTACTGTTGATTAATAGTAATATACTACGATAACGTTGCTTAAATGACATGCAGGCCAATACAAGCTTGTTCAACTGAAATGAACAGCGGCACTTTGTTTTGTGATCATCAGATTCCACTGAAATTCTGTTTGCATTATGTTTCTTAGACATTCTTCTTATGAGATGATACTGCATTCAGCACATTATGAGCTGTCACGACAACATCTGAAGTAAGGTAAGAGAATATTTTCGGTGTCTAAGAATTAATTTCAGTACTAGCAAACACAAACACACACACACAGTATGGCCATTAAAACAAAACCGTACTGATATCTTCCACAGGAATGTAAAAAATAAATGATTATTATGCGTCGTCCATTCCTCTCACGATTGATTTCATTAAAAGCAATGCACAGCATCACTGTCACACCAACCAAGGATGGATGTCTGACACATTTTGTGTCACCAACACGTACGTTTTTTTTACCCCTCACGAAAATGAATTATTCCCTTTGTATGTTGAACCAAAACCTTCTCAATAAAAAAAAAAAAAAAAAACACCGCACGGAACTAGAGGTTTATCTTCACCCTTTGTTGACAATATTTCAAAGTTCAGCAGAGTGAGCAGTCCACATTCCACCGAGCAGACGCTGGTGTGTGTGTGTAATATGACACGCGGCAGTCAGGGTTGTTTAAAATCATTGGCGCTGACCACGGAAAGTACAGTATGTGGTAATGGGAGAGCTCCTCAGAAAGGTACCTGGTCTATAGGAAGGGGAACAGTCTCTTCTTGAGGATGTAGAGAACTGTGGCGAGGAAGAGGGCGATCGCCAGGAAGATGAGCAGTTTATCAGTGAGCTCTCTGCGGTTGTACTTGGTGATGAGTTTCCTCCCGAGCTGGATGGTCCCCGTCATGGTCTTAAACTCCTCATTGGTCTCTTGGATTGTCCTCGAGGAGGTTGCTGCGAAGAAGAGATACACAGTTAACATAAATGAGTAGACATTTAAGACGGTGTGCATTAACATCAAATCTGTAAATCCTGTTGAGTCTTCTAAAGTCGGTGGCCATGAGGATTTTAACCCAACCTAGAGTATGTATCCACTGCAGGCACCACAGTGTTAACACAGTCTTTACATCAGGTGTTTCCTTCACCAACCTAGTGACGTCATGGTCTCCTCACTCTGCTGAACCTGCTGCGCCATCATCCGGCTGATGCTCATGAGATTCTCTGTAATGTCACTGGTGGTCTGGGCCAGGCCCTCTTTGGTCATCTTCCTGAGAACAAGACAGCAAATACAACTATAGAAGTCAGAGAACTAAATGAATGTATTCTGTAAAAAAAAAGGACTAGAAGGATGTAGAAACAATGCACTTTTCTAAATACAACTTTGAGAGGATTTGGTTTGTTGTTCCGAAAATACTTTGCCAAGACATGAAGCTGATCCCCGTCTCTGACTGCATCTCATTTAAGAGGAAGTAGCACACATCTGCTCACCTCTGCCTCACACCGCTATCTGCTCCATTAAGAAGTGCCTGCTTTTCCATATCATCTATGGACAGTTTGCTGGCCAGGTTGGCTTTCCTCCAACCTGTCTGGTTACTGCAAGAACAGACATAAATAATATGTATGAATATTTTCATTAAGTAGACATTATGCAAGTTTAAGCTGGCGATTTGCACATGCTTGTACAACAGTTCACATTCACAAGTCAGGGAGTAGCAACATATTTTAAAATGTATAGACATTACCTCAGCATCTGTTTCCTGTGTTCCTCTACCTGACTGATCAGCGCTTGCTTGTCTGACTCTTTGTCCTGCTCCATAGCTATCTGCTCAAAATCCTGTCAAAGTGGCACAAATGTTTTCTGAGTTATTGATTATCATTGAAAGTGGTTGATGCACAGCCCATAATGGGGTTTTGTTGTGTTTGCCGAGACATTTAAAAAAATAAATAAAAAGAGTTTCTCTTACCTGAATCCGCAACCTGAGATTGTGGAAACTCTTTTTCACGTCTGCGTTCAGTTCGGTCAGCTTGCTTTGAGGGCCTGAGCACTCAGTGACGTCCTGGTGAGACATCAAGATGAGGATGAGAAAGACTCGTGCATATATGTTTTTATTGTCACTGTAAGGTGAGGTCAGTGGTATCGACATGCTGCACAGTTACAGTGAACCACCATTGGGACTCTGTAAGCAAGAGGTGCATCATTCTGTTAGGTGGCAATAATCTGTCAACATGGGACACCAAATGTGCTCAGAGAATAAAGCAACTCTAGGCCTGCAATGATCATTTGCATTATCAATTAATCACAATTTCCCACAGTCCAAAGAGGCCTTGTTTTCCCCCCTAAAAAACAGTTAAAAAACGAAAGGTATTTGATTAAAAATGTTATATAATAGAGAAAAGGGTGAATAAATATTTTGTATTTTTGCTTACAATTACTTTTAACCAATAACTGATTATCAAAATGCGTCTTAACTATTACAAATATACAAAAAATAAATATAATAATAATTAGTGGGAAAAGGCTAATCAAACTTGGTAAATATTAGTGTTATCGTTGATCCTACTGGAAATCAGTTTAAATATGAATCATCTCTCACCGACAGAATAACGTAAACTTTAATTATAGCCAATTTACGACACTGGTGAGGTCAGTCCAGTTGTCCTCTTCTTTTACTGGCAGTTTTGATTTCCCATTTGGTACAATTACCTTATCAGTGAGGACATTAGGCACATTTCAGAGATACGCTGCTGCATTTTTGCTCTGCTGATAGCGGCAGCTCATCCTGAGAGAGCGACTCGAGCTGCCGGTACACCGGCTGCCTGCAGCTGGGACCGGGTAGCACGAACGCTATCAGACAACACGATTCCTTTGAATGACAAGCTAAAACACCAGCGTGTATCAACGTGGCGCTAAGTAGTCTTACCAAATAAATACTCGCACCTGGATGAGAGCTTTGATTTCCAGGTCATATTTCAGTATTTCTTGTTCACATATTCGGACGTTGACATCCGAGGACGCCATTTTGCCAAGGTAGTCGGCTCAAACTACGGAAAGCAGGAAGCCTATTTTGAACGTCGACTGTCAACTTTGTCCATACAAACCGAACCGTTACATTTTATGCTATTAAAAACAAACCAGCATGAAAAAAAAAAAAAAAAAACATTCTCCATACAAAACAATAAATAATTAAATGTATTTTATATGCAGTCTGAAATAAAGAACTTTCAACAGCCTAATAATGACATATATGGTAATAAAATGCATACATCTTTACATGTCAACATAATGAGGACAAATCATATCTACAATGACGTTACTGAAAATTAAGTCCTAACAGTCAACACTTAAAAAGGTAAACATCATGAGCTCATATAATAGGCAACACAAATGACAAAAGTTACAGGACCAATGGTGCTGATTATTGGTTTATTATTAACAACCACCAAATGTATTACATCCATCACAAATATTATGAGACAAAACGAGATCACATCAAACACACGTCATGAGGCACGGTCATTCATATTAACAGTAAACAGGATATACACAACATATAAACCAAACAACAAGGTTGTTTTAATTTAATGTAAAGCACATTCAGTGAGATCTCTCAGAAGTCCTTTGGGAAAACATTTTTTGTACAAGGCACCAGTGTGGGCGTCACTCAGTAATCACACAGGGGTCTGAGTTTAAGGCGATTCAGAAGGAATGATCTCTGCATGAAATTAGGAGAAACATCTATTGGTCTGCAGCCGTGTCAGGTCCCCCACCTGCTGGCAGAAGTTACAATAAACAAAGATTTAGAAAAACAAACAATAATCATACATTATCTATAGACTACACTCTATGAGCTGAATAAAAGGCACAACATCAAATGTCTTTCAGAGGAGGAAGTTTACCTGCATGGTCAGGAAGAGGTCCTGGAAGAGTACATTACTGCCAGTGATAGTTCAGGTACCAGATGGTGTCATTGGACAGAGTGGGTCCAAACAGTGGGTTCAGCTGGGCCAGAATCGCTATCAACCAGCTGATGGACAGATAGGATATTAAGATCACGTGTGTCAATACAAAACAACTCTGCAACAAAACTGTGCAATTGAAAACACACCTTTTAAAGCTCAATTTCCTATTCTCTAAAAAACAAAAAAGAAGCTAATTCTGAATTTAGGCCCACATTTTCAACATCAAACTGAGGGCCTTCGGGAAAATAACTTCACTTGCTTCCAACACTACTTTGTCTCTGCTGTGCTCTTTTATCCATCTCACGTGACACCATAGTTCACCATATATTGTGAATATAAATAACCTATCACAAGACAGAACTACTAAATGGATGTACTAACCGCAATGACGAGCTTTGTTGTACGATGACACTAATGCACACATTAATATGGAGTAAAGGAGGAGAAACAATTATCTCCACGGTGTCAGCTATACAAATGTACGTCCACTTGTGTACTCTGTTTTATTATTTATGATGCACGTTATTAATGTTGCAAACTAAGATATATGTTTGAAAATAATCAGCAAGTTGTTACATTTATAAAGTTTATTTATATTCATTTATAAAGTCATTTTTGCTTATCAAACTACTTAAACGATTAATGTTAACTATTATCCAAATAAATGGCCATAAATTGTATATAAATGGATTAATCGTGATCATTTCAGCGATATATATTATAAACCTGATTAAATATGTGTTATTGGTGAACATGTGTCACAACATAGTGTTAAAGAAATCCTGGTACATTTCCAGGATGATGATACTTACAACAGGTAGCAGCAAACTGCAGTCAGCACCAGCATCGTGACAACCACTCTGTGGGAACAGGAGGAACATTTAAAAGTGGTAAACTTAACATCTAGTGACTCTATAAATGGGTTTGAAACACATCACAGGCTGTTAACAGCTTGATCTCGTGATGCGAGTGACCAACAGGCAAATAAGGGAAGTTTCATTCTGCTCATTTTCCAGAGATGGAGTACATTTACTCTTGATCTAAATATATGTGAATAGACAGCATAGATGTGTATCAGCCATGTGTCAATAACCCCAGAATAAAAGAGGTAACAAGTGGCTCTCAAATTGGCTTCAGTTAGCTAACGCTTACTTTTACTTACTAGCGAGTTCAGTTCGTCCACAAGGTTTACATTTCATAAATCGTTCAGGTAACGTTGAGAAACCGTTTGTAAAAAGTATCGCCACTGTGTACACGGTGCAGCTACTTGTATCCAAAGAGTCACGGGACAACATATCATTACAAACTTTACTTGCTAACTAGCTGAAGTGAAGCTAACAAACTCACCCTCTGTTGGGTCCTTTGGGGATAAACCAGGGCACCACTCCCCCAACAATGCCCCAAAACAGAGTCACCACGCACATAGCGATCACAAAGCCGAGGTCCGCCATGGTGGTGTTTTTCTTTAAAACCAACAATAACTCCGAAGCACAAACTTTAGACGACTTCAGTAGAGTCCAGCTGCCAGACAGGATCCGCAGTGCGACAGAGAGCATGTATCACGTGACCATTAACCACAGAGGGCGGAAGTAAAATGAGTCTTTCTGTGTACTAGACATGGAAAACATCTGCTTAAAGATGCAACAAGGGCAATCTAACATTATGTCCCCCAGTAGATCAGCGAGGTATTTGATGTATTATGACATTCAACAGTGAAGAGAAAGTAGTAAATTAGCTTGTACTATATCAATATCATTCATATTTTTCTTGGAAAAGTAGCAGAAGTTGTTAAACAAACTTGGTATGTTGCTTGGACACTTCACTCGGAAATTTCTGTCACGTAGTATTTCATATCAGAGTTCCTAGAATTTGGGAAGGTTCAGTCTGTGGTAAAAAAGTGCCACCTGTCGTTCATTTTATAGAATTACAGAATGATTCGTACCACACAGGCAACAGGCCCCTTCTGTTAATGTGGCAAAATACTTGAATCTGATTTACTTCTTTTATTAGAACCTTTACCTTCAAATGTTAATAGCGAAAACATTTGAACTTGTAAATATCACCATGAACTTCCCCAGTTGATTACTTACATTAAGACAGCTACTTGTATGTATTACAAGTTTTCTGAAATGGAATGTTTAAATGTACAGATAAGACAATTGTATTAAATATGTGCTATAGATAGGAATAAAGCTTGAAGGTGTTGTGTTTGTAAGTAATGAAGTGGAGATTTCTCATTTAGAGAAAACGGTCTGTAAATATATGGATTTTAAAATTATATATATTTTGAAAAACACTTCCAAGTGATTTGGGTAAAAAAATGTTAATATATCCGGAAAATGCAAATGAGGCATTATCTATATTGTTAGTTAATTAATTTTGAGATAATCTAGGAGAAATAGACAAAGTGTATTAAAATAAATACCTAAATATGTATTTTGAATGTTCTTTCCACGAACCTGAAAGTACATATGTTATGGAAGCAAAATAGCCCAAAATCTCAAAATTGATCAGAGCATGAAAACCCTGTTTTAGATCGATACTCCCTTTTCACACAATTCATCAGCTTTCACAATTAAGATTCTCTGGAGAGCAAACTACTGCTGGCAGAAACTCGTAAATAAAAACAGTTCCCTTCACATGGCTGGTGCAACATTCATTTGAGCACTGGATTAACAGCAGTGCACTACAGTGGGCTACGTACAGACCGTTCATAATGATCAGATCTATGACAGGTGACGAACGTACAATAATCTTGGTGTAAAAAGTACCTCAAACAAGTTGTGCACGTTTTAAATAGAAATTCCTGGACCTACAAATATACATTTGACACCATGCATAGACACAACTTTCCCACCTCCCCAGCTAAAACAAGACGGACAAAGTATGTTCCATTTATACAGTTTATTGATACGAAAGATCATTTTTAGTCCTGCATCTTCTCAATGGTCTCCTCCTTGTATTTGCCCTTCTCCTTTCCATCGGCGCGAGACTTGGCCTTGCGCTCCAGGATCTTCTTGCGGTCCTTGTCCAGCTTTAGCCTGGTAATGACCACCTGCAAAGGAAAAACATAGCAGGCTGTTGAACAAGTTATAAAATGCCTCTTTGGCGGTAGTATCAGCCATAAAGAAAGCCAAAGAGTGGCTGAAACTAATCCAGTGAATTCACAACTCCTTTGCTAATGACTGGACTAGTTCTCAGTGGGCATTCTGCAGTGTGTTGATCAAGCAGTACAACCACTACAAATACACAACTTTAAATCCAATGCAACACAAATGGCACCACAACCTAGACGTTACAAAGGTCTGACATGTTTGATAGTTGTTGGGCTTTAATTATTTGCTCATGGTGTGCATGAACCACAAAGATATGTATTTAGATCACAGCATTACATATTGCTGTCAGTGGAGTTACCCACTCATGTCAAGTTCTCTTAAATACTGTCAAGTAAACCTTTTCACTGCAGATAAAGAGGCCACAAACAGGTGTCAATAACAATTATGGCTGAATTCCATTGAATTTCACTACAATTTTAATCTTTATTACTGGAGCACTTATGGCATATTGCGGAATACAATTAACATCGTACAAGGAAGTGTCTGGATTGAATTTAATATGTGGGGAGCAGACCATGAGACGATCACCGGCCATGCTCAACGTAGCCAGACTTAGAACGGAGTCAAAGGGAGGAGAACCGAGAGTTATTCCACCACCCAATCTGCTCCTGGCTAATGTTCGTTAGCAGGATAATTCAGGCTAACCCAGCACTGGGAGTTGGTGACTGTCCAGTGGCACAAGAGAGGGGCGGACTATTTACATCAATGACGCTAGGTGCTCAAACAGTCAAAGCTAACGGACATCATTTCCCCGACGTCCAATTTTTCATGTTAAGACGTCGGATATATTGCCATCTTTCTGACAGCCCAACACTTATTAAATTTGATCAGTATTACAAAAATATGTGCGCTGTACCGAACACAATTTTTAATTAATTAAAAACAAGAAAACATTGTGGTGGGATCAAAAAAAGCCACAGCAGCACAGTGAAAAAGGACAAACTGTAGGACTGGCAGGTTTGCTGCAGTGAGTTGAACAATAAGACTGTCACAGGGCAACAGTTCACCCAGTTAGTCAAATCAACTTTGTATAAATGACCCAATATCATACATCTGCCTCAGGCTTTACAATCTGTTAAGCAAACAACACCCTCTGTCCTTAGACCCTTGCATCAAATAAGGAAAAAACATCCAACAGGCCTTTTGCACAGCAGACATTTAGGAGGAAAAGCACATGTTACTAATAATGTGGGCTAAAGTCTGTCCAAGTCTTTCAGTTAGCCAACAGGCATAAGAAGAAGACCTACAATTTGAAGCAACTAAAATGGAATGCAGCCATCAATTGCTTTTATCATATTAAAACTGCTCCATTATTGTATTATCTTTTCAATCTGACCAAGTTAAACACTGCATAATTTGTGTTGTATCGCTGCAAGATCCACTTGGTGATTCCTTGTTTCTTACCGTCTTTAAGATCTTAAAAAATTAAGTCGGATATTCATATCAACAAACACTTCCTAGTTACGCACAGAAAAATTCAAGGTTGATAACAAGAGAGCTCGAGTCTGGATTATATGATGGACCTATCGAAGGCTGAAAGTGGAGAAATATTGTCGACAACTACTGGTAAGAGACGTGTCATTTTATCGTTTAAGACAACTTTGTATTGCTGAAGTAGCTGCCTCACATATTATGGATGTAAATGTGGTGGAAAACATCAGAAACACTTCTCAATAATAAGCAGTCCAATGCAACTCCACAAATGACTGCCTCACAGAACACCACAAACTTAAATCTGCGCCTCTTTCACAGTGTTAAGAACCGAATAATCCCCATTTACTTCAAGCCTTTCACCTGATATACATGGGTTAAAAAATTAAATAACGTGTGGGCCTGCAATTTTTGTCTAATGATGAAATCTACAGCACAATTGTTCTACCGATCCCACCTCTATTGCAGAGTGCTGGTAAGGGCAGCCATACAACTTCTGAAGCATAATAAAAAACATCCATTACTTCCAGGAACAACAGAAGGAAAGTAGGATACAATTCTCCTCAGGGAAATGGTGTTTATGCTGTAACAGGGACACATCTCAAAAGTGTGCGTCTTAACACGGCTAAATAGGTTGAGATTCATCGACTTTGAATAATACAACACATTACGCAAATGTCTTGTTCCTCTGAGGAAGGCACACCAATTTGAGGATGTACACGACTGTGTCTCGACTGTGTCTCACCTTGCTCGGGTGGATGCCGACATGGACTGTGGTTCCGTTGGCCTTCTCTCTCTGCACACGCTCAATGTAGATGACGTACTTTTTCCTGTAGACCTGCACCACTTTGCCAATCTGCTGGCCTTTGTAGTGTCCACGGACAACCTGTTTGAGAACAACACAATCAAGTCAAGCATGTGCAGCTTACTCTTTTAAGACAACTATGACAAACTTTCAGCAATCCAAAAGTACAATACCTGGACTTCGTCATCTTTGCGGATGGGCATGGACCTCACGTTGTACTTCTGGCGGAGCTCCTTGGAGAGGGGGGAAGACATGATCTTCCTCCTGATGTGTGAGGGGGCATTGAAGTGCCTCTTGCGGTTCTTGCGGCGGGAGGACGTTACAAATGGATTCAGCTTCATGATGCTGAGCACAAACAAGACATACGGGTTATTAAACAGTTGACTACATTTACATGATTGAAAACATGCAGCCGTTGACAATTCACTCAAAAACTGCTGAAAACGTTGAGCTACACAACGATATGAAGGCAAGTTAGCAAAAAGATGCTAATCTACAAACGCCAGTATCAACACGTTTGAGTACTTTGGGGAACTTTAGTTTCTCTGCACACCAACTCCCCTGAAACCTATAAAGTACCGTAATGCGACTAGCATTGCAGCTACTCCAACACCTCAGCTAACGATATTAAAACAGTAATTTAGCTGGCTAGCTAGGTCATGGCTCGACTTCAAATGCTAAACTAGCAAGAGAATGCTACTTAGTTAGCATAATATAACAGACGGACTGGAGCGTTAGCATTTCAGTGCCAACAGTAACTCAGAAACATAACCGAGCGAGTTGCAAACAAAACAGAAAACCCATTAACGGTAAAAGAGCCGAATATCAGCCGCTAGCACCGGGAATCAAGCACCTTCACTAACAGTAGCCGACATGCGGAGACTGACGGACCCAACAGGGGCACTAAACAGTGAACGGTTTAAACAAGCAATCTATCATCAATATGGGTTCAATATTGGCCGTATTTTAATGGTGACAATGTCTACGAGGTGTTTCGACGTTTATATGGATACACGATGACACCAAAGGGAGGATGGATGGTGATAACTTTAGTGAAATAATCTGCCAGGAATTCTTACCCTGCCGTTTGCTCCTCTATGGCCGGCGGAAAAGAGAGTCACATAGTACTTCCGCTGGCATTAGTTCACACTCAAGTCTCGCGAGATGCACTTAAAATGGGAATAAAATACACATGAATTACAATAAATATAAAAAAACAAGCACTTACATAATATCATATTAGTATTTAAACGATGTTGCGTGTATTTCAAATTTCCTTGTATATGATTATTTTTAGTTTTTACTTTATGTAAAATTATTCTGCAT